CTCGGGCACGAGCGCGGCGGCGACGGCCCAGAGCGACGCGACGGCGACGCCCGCGTAGACGTGGGCGCCCGGGAAGAGCTTGCCCGCGCGCATGTAGGTGTTCACGGGCCCCTCGAGGGCCATGGGGATGCCGACGGCGAGGAGCACCGTGCCCATCTGGTAGTGGACGTCGCGGAAGTTGCCGCTCTTGATGGTCTCGCGCGTCTCCTGCAGCGACGCGACCTCGGCGTCGGCGGCGGACATGGCCGCGACGAGCGTCGCGGGCGCGGCGACCTCCTCCGTCGTCGCCGCGTCGACGGCGCGCGCCGCGGCCTTGGCGGCCTTCTTCGCGACGCCGAGCTCGACGCCGAGCTCGCGGAGCCGCCGCCACTGGAGGCCCGTGTAGCCCGCGTAGAGCGTCGCGAGGAAGCAGCCGCCCATGGCCACGGGGTGCGCGAGGCTGATCAAACGGCCCTCGGCGATGCCGTACTCGCCGCCCTTGGCCCACGCGCCCTCCGGGAGCGCCGCGGCGGCGACGGCGGCCGCGGCGGGGACGAGCGGCGTCGCCGCCGGGGCCGGCGCGCGCGCGCCGGCCGCGGCGACGGACGGGGCGCGGTGGAGGAAGCTGCTGTCGTGCTTCGCGAGCTTGAGCGGGTCGAAGGAGCCCCGCGGCGTCTGGAAGCCCTCGACCGACGCGAGGGCCGCGAAAAAGATGGCGCGCATCATGGTGGCGTGCGAGGGAGTCGGCGGCGGCGCGGTGCGAGGTGTGGTTGGCGTCTGGTTGGCGTCTGGGAGGACGAAGGCGTCAACGCTATACTGATGTGGTTGGCCTCTTTATGGCGCAAGGCGCGTCTGAGACTCAACGTCAACATTGAGGTCGCTCGAGCAGCCGCGTCGCGTTTTTCAGGCCTGTCATAGGCTGCCCCGTCCAGCATGGGCAACCGCGTCGCGTCGCGGGTCATCACGCTCGACGAGGTGTCGAGCGCCGTTGGCGACGGGGAATGCGGCACGACGGACCGCCGCCAGGTCTGCGCGCTCCTCAAGACGCTCACGTCGGTCACGCCGAGCGACAACGTCCTCGAGGACCTCATGGACGCCCAACACGTCAAGGGCGACCGGCCGACGGCCGAGGAGCTGCGGCGCGTCGCCACGGCCTTCTGCGACGTGCTCAGCGCGCGCGGCGTGTCCCCGCACCCGACGCGGAGCAAGACGGAGCGCTACTGCTTCGGCCACGGCGCCGCGCGTCCCCCCGGGGTCCCCGTCTCCGCGCGCGCGCGCGGCCGAGGCCACGACCGCGCAGGTGGGCGTCGCCGTGCGGCGCAGCGACAAGGGCCTCGTCGTCTACCGCGTGTCCGGCCTCGCGAGCGACCTCGGCCTCCGCGTCGGCCAGGTCGTCGTCGAGCTCCGGGGCCGCGACGTTCCCCACTCTTATCTCGGCCGTTTTTCGCTCGTGTCGGCTGATTTTTGGACGAGCGACCATCTCGAAGCGTGGATGCTTCTCCCGGCACGCGCGCGCGCGGAACGCTCACGTTGAAGCGTCGTCGCGTCACCCGTTTCGCGGCCCAGGTCGAGCTCCAGGGCCAGCCGGTCGCGCGGCAGACGCACCAGCGCGTCTTCGGCCAGATGGTCGACCGCCTCGACCGGCCGCTGGTCATCGGCTTCCGGGACCCGAACTGCAAGGAGTGGGACTGGCGGCGGGCGCTCCTGGAGCAGAACGCGAACGCGGCCTTTTGGCTCTGTCCCTCCGGCGCCCGCGCGCGAAGGAACGAGACGGCCACGCGCGCGCCGCGCAGGCCAGGACGAGGACGGCCTCATCTGGGAGTACGAGGAGCCATCCATCTGCGAGGGGTCGCCGCCGGACAAGGGCCGGGGGTTCCTCGAGCTCGACGACGTCGACGAGGACGACGGCGACGACGCGGCGGACGCGCGTCGCCGTGGACTACGCGGACCCGAACTCGCCGCCGCCGCCCCTGGACGAGGCGCCGCCGCCGCGCCCGTCGCCGGACGCGCCACCGGAGAAGCCGACCGTGGAGCTCTTCAGCGTGCCCTTCGACGCCGAGGGGTCGCCCGCGTCGCCGCCGGGCTTCGTCGCGCGCGCGGTCGTCGCCTAATTCGCGCGCCGCTCTTCGTTACTTGACGAACCCCAGGCGCCGGCGCCACACCTCCATGGGCGTGCCCGTCTCCCGGCCGAGGACCTCCAACGACCGCGCGAGCGCGGTCTGCATGGCCGAGTCGACGGGCGCGTCCGCCGGGTCCTCGGTCGAGCAGCGCCCGCCCGGCGCCGTCGCGGGCCGCGCGAGCGCGCCGGGCTTCGCGCGGAGGCCCCTTTTCGCGGGAGGCTTCTTCATGTGCGCTTCCACGTTGAGCCGCCGCCAGCCCTTGGTCTCGTAGCGCCGCGCCTCGTCGGCGGCCGCCGTCTCGCGCACGCGGTCCGCGAAGGAGGCGCCCGCGGGCGGGGGGCTCGGGGCCCGCTCGCGGACGCGGCGCCGCCGCCGCGGCCGGTCGCCGGACGCCGCGGCGAGCGAGTCCGCGGTCATCTCGTGGACGAGCGCCTCGACCTTGTACATCTGCTTCGAGAGCTTCTCCAGCCGCCGCGGGTCCGCGGCCGGCGGGTCCGCCGGCTTTCGCGCCGGCGCGCCCGCCGCCGGCGCCGCCGCCGGCCGGTAGCCCGGCGGGCCCTCGAGAAGATTCGCGTGCAGCGTCTCCTGCACGCGCAGCGTCTCCCGCGCGCGCCGGTCCTCGCGGTCCTCGCGGGCGACGAGCAGCGCCTCGCGCCGGTCGAGCTCGCGCGACCGCTCCTCCAGGCGCCGCTCCGACTCCTTCACGAGCGCCTCCCGGCGTTCCAGCACGCTCATCATCACCATGTGCTCGAGGTCGTCCTCGCGCTGCATCTCGCCCATGGACGCGCGCACGGCGGACTCGATCTCCTGCTGCCAGGGCAGCGCCTCGAAGACGCCGTCGGCCATCGTCGTCGTTTCTTCCCCGGGGGCGCTCTGCGACGCGAGGGGCTGCCTTGATGCGTTGTGAGAGCGTGCAAGGCTAGGAGAGGTTAACAGCTAGAGGGCCATCGTCGTCGTTTCTTCCGGGCGCTCTGCGACGCGAGGGGCTGCCTTGATGCGTTGTGAGAGCGTGCAAGGCTAGGAGAGGTTAACAGCTAGAGGGCCATCGTCGTCGTTTCTTCCGGGCGCTCTGCGACGCGAGGGGCTGCCTTGATGCGTTGTGAGAGCGTGCAACTTCAGCCCGTATCGGCATCAAGCTACTGGACGGAGCTGCCACAGCGTGTTCTCCGAAGAAGCAAAGCAGCCAGGGTGAGCGCGTCGGAGCGGGGCGCCGGGGCGCGCGCCACCCCCGCGAGCCCACGCACCCCGCCACCCGCCGACGCCCCCAAACCCATAGGCATCCTCGTCGTGCCGAGTCGACCACCGAGACTAAAACGAGAGCGACACGCACCAGGATGGTGCAGACGGCCCACTCCAACGCGTCCCCCGTGACCCTCCTCGCGAAGCTCTGCTTCGAGAAGAGCGCGCGCCTGGCGGAGCTCGAGCACTGCTCCATCGCCTGCGTGCGCGCGAAGATGGGCGAGTTCTACGGCGACGCGGCGCGCGACGGCGTGCTCGTCTACAACCTGAACCCGTTGGACGCCGACGAGCTCCAGCTCCTCGACGACGGCGACGTCGCGCTGGCCAAGAAGGTCGCGAAGGAGCCCGTCAAGATCACGGCCAAGCGCGCGGCGCCGGACGACGACGACGACGCCGACGGGTCGGTCGTCGAGGCCGCGGAGGCGGCCGCCGACGACGGCCGGTCGGCCTTCGAGCACGCGTCGGGCGCGTTGGGCAACTTCGGCCTCGAGGCGCCGCCGTCGCAGGTCAAGGCCCTGCTCAAGGCGCTGGAGCTGCGGCCGAGGCGCCTCGTCAAGTGCGGTTTGGCGCCGCCGCACTCGCTCAAGCACACGCCCGAGGACGAGGACGCCGAGGAGGCCAAGGACGACGCCTTCGAGATGGTCGACTCGCTGAGCCTCGAGGACAAGGAGGAGGACGAGGCGCTGCCCGTGGCCGCGGAGGTCGTCGACGCGGCCGCGGCCGGCCCGGACGCCGTCGTCGCCGCGCTCGCGGGTAAAGGCGTCACGCTCCTGCCGTCGACCCTGCACACGCTGCTGCGCCTCATCGACGTGCACCCGCGGCGCTTCGTCAAGCTCGGCCTCGTCGACGACATCCAGGCCGCGCGCCGCGCGTACCGCGCGGGCGGCGGCGACGCGGCGAAGGCGCTCTTCAAGGGCCGCGGCGGCAAGGGCGGCAAGGGCTGGGGCCGGGGCCTCCACGGCCGGGGCGCCGGCGGCCGGGGCCGGGGCCGGGGCTGGGAGTTCGGCGCGGACGAGGGCTGCCGCAAGAAGCACAAGGGCTGGGCCGGGTCCTCGTCCGGGTCCTGGGGCGACGCGCGCAACGGCGGCCACTGGAACTCGACCTGGGGCGGCCCCCACGGGTCCCACTCCTGGGGCGCGACGACGGCCCGCGGCGCCAAGACCAACTGGGGCACGCCGCCGCCGGGCGTGCCGCACGAGCCGCTGAGCGACGACCGCGCGCCGCCGCCGCCCTGGGCGCCCGCGGGCGCGCCGCCCTACGGCCACCCGGCCCTGGGCCCGCCGCACGGCCCGCCCCACCACCCGCCGCCGCCGCCGCACCACCGCGGCGGCTGGGGCGGCGGCGGCGGCGGCTGGGGCGGCGGCCACAGCGGCGGCTGGGGCGGCGGCTGGGGCGGCGAAGGCTCCGGCGGCGGCTGGCGCGGCGGCGGCGGCA